TGAGCAGCCCTAACGAGCAACACGAACAAATTGCGAGCGCATTGACGATTACAAGAAATGAAAAAAACTTCTTACGGTTTCGTTCATCTAACCACCAGGAATAAAGCATATCAAAGCACAACAAAACTCACTCTCAGCCGTACGTAAGGACAAGTAGAACGCAGAGCCGCGAGCGAGCAATGGCGCTGCACAGTAAAACAAAACCACTTAAATCGGTTGACCGTTTGCATTTCCTAGGCGCACGGAAATGCAATTGTGATTTCCTAGGCGCACGGAAATGCAGAGTATTGTGATTTCTTATTACTGTGAGACAAACAAAGAAGCTTTGATGTCTATTAAACGTCTCAAGCTCGCGAGGAAGTGCAGAAGTTCTGCACTAGTTCCGCACAGGTTCTGCACCCAGGAGCGGACGCGTGCTAAGTGGGCAGTTGCGCATTACAGGTGGGAGATGATAAATTAGTGCATAAACCCAGCACTGTCAGTGGGGGGTTTCTTTGACGTCCTCAGCGCGCAGTGGCCAGGTTTCTGATCCATGTAGTAATATGGAGCGCGTCGCAGCGTTGTGAACTCGACCCTTGACAGAGAAGCTTATGTCAGGCCTACGCCACAGGTGACGTAGGTTCGCAAAAGTCGCTCTGGCCTTCCCAATCCGGATGGAAATGTCTTTCGTCAGACCGACGGGACTGATACAGCTGTCCAGGTAAACAAATTCGTCTACTACCTCAATCGGTTCATCCGTAAGCATGAGGCTAGGGTTCGAGCCCATCCAGTCGTGCAGTAGTACTTTGCACTTTGCAGGTGTGAGGCGCATGCCGAACCGCGAGGCAGAATTATTTAGATTATTCAATATTGTTCGCATTACCACGGGGTCAGGTCCAAGAAGGGCTATGCCGTCCGCGTACACGGTGTGTGAGTGGAGGCCCTGGGAGCACATTGACGCCACAGGCGTTAGAGGCTGATAGTGAAGTTGAAAAGAAAAGGGGAAAGAGAACAGTCCTGTCGGACACCACTTGGTGTGGTGAACTCAGACAAGAGCTTCCCGTAGACCTCCACGCGGCCGTAAGAGTTGGCACACAGAACCTTAAGGAGGGTGAAGAATTTATGGGGGATACCTTTGCTCCACAGACACTGCCATAGTGCCTGACGGTCCACTGAGTCAAGGGCAGCTTGCAAGTCAAGGAATACGGTCATTGTTCGTTGCGGGAAGCAGTGTGGCTGGTGCGGAATCTGTCGGAGGGCGAAGATGTGATCGATGCATCCTCTTGCAGGCCGGAACCAGCTTGGTTTTCACGGATCTGCCTCTCTCTGTGTTCACTCAACCTTCGAGGGATAAAGCCAGTGAGCACCTTCGATGCCACAGCTAACATGCTGATACCACGGTGGTTTTCACATAGCGTCCGCTTACCCTTTTTGAAGTTAGGGATAACCTCCGACTTGCTCCAATCTGCAGGCACTTTCTCTTCGTCCCATATAGCACCAATAAGCTTTGTCAGATAGGCCACCGGGAATTTTCCGCCTTTTTTGAGGAGGGCTGGATACAGACCGTCCAGTCCTGGTGCCTTCTCGCGTTTCAGTACGGATATTTTGTACCTTTTTTCTTCTTCCGAATGGCGATCAAGGTTTACATTCCATTCGCCCGTATGCATTAGCTCCACCGGCAGTGTTTCAGGAGGCCAGTTGAACTGCTGTTCGAAGTGTCCGACCCATTTATCCAGTCGACGTTTTTGCGAGTGAATTAATGAGCCATCTTTTTCACGTATCGTTTCGCTGACCGTTGCTTTCCTAGCGCCAGTCGATCGTATCAATTGATACAGGGCACGGCTGTTTCCCGTAGCAAAAGCCTTCTCCATCTCCCTAGCTTTTGATGTCCACCCAGGGCTTTCGGTCTTTCCTTAGACTCTTCACTTCTTGACGTTTGAGGGATTTGCGTGCGCCGTCGAACTCGTTGCCTGTTGGTAATGTGCTGATGCGCACTGATGATGTCTCCTCGTATGGTGACGAAACGTTTGCAAGCCAATTGCCAAGCTCGGCGAACAGATCAACAGCCATCTGATCAACAACCAATCATTGCCTGTTGGTATGGCTTTCCTGGCATCAATCATGGATAACGACCTCGACGACACCCGGTGGTCTTATGGCCGAATTGGAGAAGTCGGACAGACAGAAGTGAACACCGCTAACGTAGCTCATTTCACATTTTGCCACGTTTCATCCGCATGCTCACTGCCACCACAGTATTGTTTTACTGTGGAGAGTTGTTGGGCTAGCTCAGATCGATACTGTTGAGCTATGGCAGTTCTTCGAAGATAGTGGATTGGCA